ATCTTATTTAGTTGATTAGGAGAATATTTATTTTATTTCTTCTTAATTATGGGCATATCACGCCGAATTGTGTCTTGAGACTATCTTCGACCTTTATCTCCTGTGTAGTGTAGAACTATAATTAACTTAATTGCAATATTAATTTTATAACTTAAAACAACATAGAACAAAAAATTGAAGCTTAACAATGTTTGGAACATAAATTGAAGCTTTCTTAACTGAGTCACTGGTAGAAAGGGTCAAGTACTTGATCCGATCACTTACAAGATGAAATTCCTTTGAAACCGTAGCAATTGCTTACGATCAACCTCACAAGTCTCGGGCAGTTAGACGATAATATGTTGAACGACTTATTTGACAGGATGAGTCTGTACAGATACATACTAGTGAGCCAAGAGAAGAAGAATGTGCTTTGGCGGTGGCACCATCTCCATGAGCGTCATTGCCCTCGATACGGACCCTCTCGAGACTCGGGATATCTATTTTGATGCTACGACCTTTGATGCCCTTAAAATTCTTAAATACAAAGTAGTTGAGCCCACGCGGTGCCACCTCCTTAGTCTAACGTTTTTGAGTCCCTCACACCTTAAAAAGGAAAACATGGCTAAGCAAAGGGCAGCCCGACATTTTGGGATACCCTTATACGGATGGATCAGATTGGATACCCATCGTTCAGATTTGGACAGTCGGACTTACATTTTGGGACCTCTACCACACTGTGATGCTGCTGACCTTTTCGCCGGACTCTCCCCGGACCAGGATCTGTTATCTTTATATTTTGTTGTCAGCTTTTATTTGTATTTTTTCTTGCTTTTGGTTTTATTTTTATTTTATTTTTGATGTATCAGACATTGGTATTGTAGTTTTGTGACTTTTCAGCTCATTTAGGACATTGTTATATACAGGTTGGAGGTTCGGCCTTAACCCCCCACCCCTGGGGTGGTGTTTGGAAAAATAAAGAAAAAAAAAAAAGGTCAGCCCGACATAATCTTCTCCAAAGTCCGGTTGCTAATGAAGACTCAGTTGAGAGTGAGCTTACGGAGACGGTTAAGCCGCAAGCTGTGGACGACTATTGGGACCCACTTTTTGAAAAAGGATAAGGTTGGTATGTTTAAACCCATTTGTATATTTCACTTGCCCACAATTAATTGTCAATCCACTTTCAAGGCAAAAAACTTCATTTGTCAGTCTATTTATATCTGTGCACCATTTTTGTTTTATTTTTTTTGCGACCTATTCTGATATCAAACACTTGACCAGATCCCCTGACTTCATATCACTAGCTATAACAGCATACAAAATAGGCGTAGGCCTTCAACTGGAGAGAAAGAAAACCGGATATTACAAGTTTTAAGAAAAGCTTTAGTGCATAGAGAGTTTGCAGTAGTACTTATGCCGTTGTCTGACCTCTACATTTCAACTCAACCCATATTAACCCACCCATCATACTGATAATGACTGTGAGAATTTAGAAACATTCTAACATCTCCATTTCAATCTAAGGCGAATATTCTTGTGTAGTGTTCGTTTTTGCAACTCCCCCCGTGTCCTCCACTGTATGAGCTGCCATTGTTTCCCGTCGAAACTTTCCACAAACACTTGCTCCAAATCATGCCTCCAAAAGTAAGTCCTGGTCCTGACTTTCTTGTTTGCAAGCAAGATGTTTAACTGAAACTCCAAGAGCCAGTAGTTCCTGCCCGACTTGCTCACGACCCAACAACCATATACATGACTCGGTCGACAAACACGAAACAAGCCATTCATAAACCCCATGTGCCAAGCCACCGTGCGACATTTATAAGTACCAAAAATCAAGTTCAGCACCACCACAGGCAGCTCGTCACCGAGAACAGCACTACGGGGCACATCCCGAGGGCCGTCGTCCATCTGCAAATACAGAGAAATCCGAGACCCACTTAGTGCCTTCAGCACTCGTCTCAGCTTAAGGAACAATGAATTGAGGTCTAAATCGGGATCATACATATATGAAGAGAGGAATACTTTTGAGGACCACTCCTTGGAAGTAGTGGTCGTGAAAGAGAATGTGTCCGGCACCTGGGAAATACGGGCAATGAATTCAAAACTGACAATGTTGGGGGCAGAAATCCTAACTCCTTTTAGCAATATTTCTGTGGTACAGATGTGCAAGAACTTGACCGAATCACTTGCAAGATGGAGTTCCTTGAAACCGGAGCAATTATTTAGGGTCAAGCTCTCAAGAGTCGGGCAGCCGAACGATAACATGTCAAATGACTCGCTCGACAGGATCACAAATTGGAGATCCAAACTCGTGAGACGAGAGAACAATAATGCGCTTTGGCGGTGAGACCAAATCCATGGGCCCGTGATATAGACTGTCTCAATATTCGGGACATCGATTTCGATACTACGCCCTTCGATCCTCGTGTAATCACGCAATACAAAGTGCTTGAGCCCAGGCGTCTCGCTCAGCCTAACGTTTCTCAACTCCCAACAATTATTAATGACCAGGCGCCTGAGCAAAGGGCATCCCAACGTTTTCGTCTCGAAAGTCCCGCCATCAACATCGACCCATTCGAGGGTGAGCGTGCGCAGACTTTTGAACAGCACGCTCTCGACTGGGCTCAGCGTGCATTTTCTTAGCTGTAGTTCTTGGAGGGTGAGCGTGCGCAGACTTTTGAACAGCACGCTCTCGACTGGGCTCAGCGTGCATTTTCTAAGGTGTAGTTCTTCGAGGGACTCGGCTAACAACACTGCCGAGGGGAGGTCGTGAGCATATGAAAGAAAGTTGAGTTTGAGCACTTTTATGTTGAGGGCGGGTATCATCGGAATCCATTTGTCGAGAAGGGAGATGACCGGTCGTGAGTCGGGTCTCGATATGTGTATGTGGAGATGGAGTTTGTGAATGGAGAGGTTTTGATCACGGTATTCTTGTAGGATTCGGTCGACGACGGAGACAAATTTTACTTGTGCTTTGCCGAACCGTTCTTGGGAGAAGTCGAGGTTGAGGCGGGTTGATCCTATGTGGCGCCATTGTTTGGAGAGTACACAAGTTCTCACAGCTTCTTCCTGGCACAGGAAATATAGTATCTGGTGAAGTATAGGTATTGGCAGTTGCGATATTCTATCGTCGGCCATGGCTGTGGACAGAGTCTCCTCTGTTTCTGCCGCCTGCTTAAGCTTTTTAAGAGGAGATTCTGAATGAATCAACCCTAATGCCGGTTAATCTATTCTATAATCTATATATCTATATATATATATATATAATATGAATTACCATTTACCAAAAACAGTAGCAAAAAATAGGTCAGAATTTAATGCAGTCTATAAATAGTAAGTTTATTATTTTTCTTATTTTTTTCTTTAAAAATCATACACAATTAAATGTTACCTTAAATTTCAGGCTTTAGTTTATTTTATTATTAGAAAAATTCGGCTAAGTTTTATTAACTGTGTATGTTTTTTATTTTTATTTTTTCCTTATAAACAACGAACAACATTAAAATCTTTGTCTCTATATTTATAAAATCTCAATTCAAAATACAACAAAAGTTTCAGAATCTCTGTCTTTATATTTGTGCCCTTAAAAAAATATTGAACGCTAAAATATTCTTTAAATTGCATAATCAATCAATCAATCTTAATTTTTTTAAAAATTAATATGTTTATTTTTTATTAATATGCATAAAGTAAAAATAATTAATTCATCTTTAGATATATAATTTATAGTCTTAATATACTATCATTTGGTAGACATTTATTATATGAATTATAAAATATTTTTATTTCATAACATTAAATATATTTAAAAAAAATAAGAAAATTTCTTTGAATCAATCGGGTGATTGAATTAGGGTACTGCCCAGGTTGATTGAATTACTTTTAGGTGATATTTAAAATAGTTAAAAAATTTAACACAACTTGGTTGGTCCCAAGTGACTAAGTTATGTATCAGTTCGACCACACCAAGTCGATTATTGAACCTAAATATAAATTTTATATTGAAAATATTTTATTACGTGAAGGTGATGTAGTCAAACTTCAAATAATCGTATTAACAATACTTTTATGACAACATGTTTAATGAGTTATGAATATTTGCATATCATTTTATCACATATTTTTGTGAATTAAATAATATTTTATTATAATATTTATTAATGTACAGTAAATATAAGGTTTTCAGAACTGAACCGTCATAGAAACGATCAAGCTATGTTCAAATGTTTAAACTAATTGATAAATAATTTATATATCTCTATTTTATTTAAGATAATTTTAAATATAACAAATTATATTTAGAAAATCGTATCGATCCTACCAGTCCAACCGACTGGTGTTGATGGATTCAAGAGCAAATATTTTATTCAAGCGAACTAGACTGGTTATAAACCGGTTCTCGGTCCATCCGGTTGGAGTGTGTCTAACCCGGTTTAATTTAAAAACAATAGATAAATCATGATTATTGTTATTTATATATTTAATTTATAATACAATCGTAATATTGTTTTCTCGTGCATCGCACGGGCCACACACTAGTCTATCTTAAAAGGATGAGTTGTTTCTTGAAAATTTTGAATTACCCATATTACCCTCAAAAAATGTTACTTTAAAGGACATAAATGTAATTTGTAATTTGAAATTAGAGTTGATAATGATGATTTGTAACTCATCCAACCACATTTAAATAGAAACTTGAATTGCCAATAATATCCTTAAGAAAAAAAATATAACTTTTGTTTGAAGGATATAAATGTAATATTATAACTTTTATTTAAACCACATTACAACCACACACCTATCTTTATTATATATAAGTTGTCTCCAACTTTTTCATTTTTTCTTCGTCATATACAATTATTTTTTATTTATATAATTTATATTATTCTCATTCCATTATTCTTTATCATCTACAAATATTAATTTATTTATGACAAGAGTATGCATAGTCACATTTTGGAGCATCACCTAAATTGTTGGTCCTTTTCAATCACAAATTGTTGCATATTAAGGTATACTACTAATTTATATGTCATCTAAATGTTTTTCAAATGAAATTATTCAGTATGACATTAAGATTCATTTTAATTTTATTATACTGTTGCATTACAATATTATTATTATTATTATTATTATTATTATTATTATTATTATTATTATTATTATTATTGTTATTATTATTTTAGTATTGTTATATTATAATTACTTTATGTTTTATCATACTTTCATTTTCATTATGTATAATGGGCATGTCTTGTGAATTAGAGAAAAATAGAAAATGTAGTATTAAGTTTCCATATTTCAGGATCCACTGAAATACCCAAAATCTTTAATTAGGCTTTATTTATAAAAGACAATGAAGAAAAAATATTGAATATCATGTCTAAAATGTATGCATATTACATTTTATAGCTAATAAATAAAAAATTACAAATATACTAGACGGCTACCCATAGCTTTTGCGTCTATCTAAAATTGCACTCATGGTAAAAACAGTTCATATAACTTAATCAGCTAATGGATTTTGTAAAAAAAATAAAAAAATAAATAACATTTTACTAAAATAATAACGTTGATTGATATCCAATTTTTATTTTATTATGTTCAGTTGTATACCTTTTTTGTGTATTTTATTTGAACAATAAGAGATATATATAGTATTATACAAATAATAAATTTATAAATTAATATTTCATTAAAATAATTTAATATTGATATCTATTCTTTTTTTTTCTTTTTATAGAATTTTGGTGTATTTTATTTGGACAGAAAATGAGAATCATTATACATACTTATTCATAGTATTAGTTTATTATAATGTAGTTGTCCTATAAGCAACCAAAATAGAGTCAACACAATAAATCATAACTTATATATTTACTTTTATTCATTTAATCTAAAAATGCAATTACCCTTAAGAAAAAGAAATATAACTTTTGGACATTTACTGCATTTTCATTATTTCTTTTGGATAATTCAATATTGTGACATTATAATTAATATTTGTTTAGTCGTGGTTGTATTTTTATTATTTATGGTGGATAATTTTCTTGTCAAATGGAGAAAAAAATTAGAAAAGTAGTATAGTGCTTTTACATTTTAGAAAAGTTAGTAATACATATAAGAATTAATAAGTATTAAGCCAAATAATAAATATTCCTTTTATATAATTTTCAATACATATTATTCAAAAGTTACCTTCATCAATGTTTTATTTCATTTATGTTTTATCATACTTTCATTTTCATTATGTATAGTGGGGATGCCTTGTGAATTAGAGAAAAATAGAAAAGGTAGTATTAAGCTTCCACATTTCACGGTCCACTAAAATATCCAAAATCTTTAATTAGGCTTTATTTATAAAAGACAATGAAGAAAAAATATTAAATATCATGTCTAAAAGGTATGTATATTACATTTTATAGCTAATAAAGAAAAAATTACAAATATACTAGACGACTACCCATTTCTTTCACTTCTCTCTAAAATTGCACCCATGGTAAAAATTCATATAACTTAATCAGTTAATTGATTTGAAAAAAAAAATGAATAACATTTTACTAAAATAATAATTGTTTATTGATATCCAATCATTGTTTTATTATGTTATTTTGTTTACCTTTTTGTGTATTTTATTTGAACTGTATGAGATATATAGTATTTTACAATTAATAAATTTATAAATTAATATTTTATTAAAATAAGTTAATATTGATATCTATTGTTTTATTATTTTTATAGAATTTTGGTGTATTTTATTTGGACAGAAAATGAGAATCATTATACATACTTATTCAAATTAGTTTATTATAATGTAGTTGTTTTATAAGCAACCAAAATAGAGTCAACACAATAAATCATAACTTATATATTTACTTTTTATTCATTTTATTCATTTAATCTAAATCTCCAATTACCCTTAAGAAAAAAAAACATAACTTTTGGATATTTACTGTATTCATTATTTTTTTGGATATTTTAGTATTGTGATATTATGATTAATATTTTTTTTTATCGTGGTTGTATTTTCATTATTTTTGGTAGATATGTTTCTTGTGAAATAGAGAAAAAATTAAAAAAAAAGTAGTATGATGCTTCCACGATTTAGAAAAGTTAGTAATACATATAAGTAATAATAAGTATTAAAATATATAATAAATATTCCTTTTCATTTTCAATACATATTAATTACAAATTACCTTCATCAATGCTTATTTTCATCACTATGTCTTTAAATGTTTACTCATATCTATTATAAAGATAAAATACATGTAATGATGAGTTTATAATTTCAAATTTTAAAAAATGAAACTATAATTTAGGACCTTATTTTCAACATTCAGAATGTATTAGTCTTTTAATTAAATGTGAGAAAATGAGGTACAAATTATTATAATCAACTCTAATCTAAGATATATTTTGAATACTAATTACAGTTGAATGGTCGTGAATGTTCACTGTCATTTTCAAAATTTAGTAAAAATCCACTTAAGTATATATCATGATAACAAGTTAATACGATAATAATCATTTTTTATAAGTAAAAATACAATTTTTATGTAATAAATAATCTACTCTCTTTTTTAGATTAATCGAAATTAATCAAAATAAATTCACTCATTTTCACTATGGGATTTTAAATCCCTAGAATAATTGAAATGGATTGAAGTTCAATTTGAAATAACTATCTTATAAGGGAGAATTGCTTCTTGAAAAAATTGAATTGTCGAAAATTCCATACGCTATAATTAATTTTTAAGGTTACTAATGTGA